ATTTGTGTCCTCCAGGGCAGTCTTTACATCCTCGACATCCTCGACGGGATGGCACGACCATCAGCCTCGCCGGACATAAACCGTCCACTAGAGGATTCATTAGGGGCATTAGGGGAGGCCAGGGAGTGTGGTTTCAACATTTGTAAATCAGGGGTTTCACAATAGGTCTCAAACCCAAACACATTTTACATATGTCTGCTTCAAATCAAAAGGGTTTTAAAACCTACTACTCATTCCTAAACGGTGTTAATTATTTTCAAATACTGGAAATCCCTTATTTCTGCATTTCTTCAGGCTGTGTAATGAAGTCAACAGATATTCTCACCTGTGGTTCATCTTGGAATAGCAGGAGTTATGCTCAAGTATCCGAACAGACACGATAAAACAGCAATCAACAAGAAATACACTCGAGCTGTCATCCTCCCAACCTGCAATCTCACAGTGATCTCTGCTGGAAAATGCGCTGAATTGGTGCGTCAGAAGGAGCGGACAGCGACGTGCACAAAACTAAAACGAATACGTGTTGCTGCAATATCAACCTCTGTAAAATGGGGTTTTAAAGATCCAAGGAGATCAGGTCATTTCCAACACTGATCAAACTCACCTGCCTGTAGCTTTCTAGTTATCTGAAATGCCTTGATTAGCTTGTTCAGGTGTGTTTGATTGGGGTTGGATGAGCTGAATGCTGCATTCACGGCATGTCATAATAATTAAGGTAGCCTAATTACGAGAGGATTGTGCATTTCTATGGCGACACTATAAACTTCTTCTTCTTCTTCTTTTTTTTTTTTATTAATTTTTTTTATTATTAACCAGAACAAAATACACAACAATAATGTACAAGAGTGTGCAAACCATTTATTCAGTAATCAACAACTGTATATTCGTGGAAAAAATTACAAGTCTTGTTTGCTTTTTTATTAACAATGTTCTCCAAACTGGTGCAGTAGTCCTTAAGTCTCCTGAAGAAAATGGATGAAATTTGGCTTGGACCCTGACCTTCTTCTAATGTATGTAAAATTTTCCAAAAATAATAAAAAGATGTACCAGAAAAGTAAAGATATTATTATTACATTCAATGGAATAATACATACATATCAAAATTATTTAACTTGAATGTAATATTTGTTTTCCTTCTAATTATATTCCCCCCCCCAAAATAATAAATAAAAAAATCCATGTGTAGACACAATTACAAAATAGATTGATAATATAGACTCCTTTTCCATTGAGCAAACAAATCACAGGAATAATCAATATCCAGATTAAATCTCTCTAACACACTTTTAGCTGCATATACCATGAAACATGTTAAATATAGCCTTTTTCTTTATTATTTACAGAGTATATTTCACAAACACGCCAAGCTTTATTCCAATTCTAAATACACTGGTCCACAATAAGCTTTTGCCCTGTATCACCTGTTATAATATTCCTATATTTATTAGTACAGCTGTGTTTAAGAATATCAACGTCTCCTAGGAACATGCTGTCTTTAACATATATTGCCTCAGAAGAATCACTTCCATAAACTCTTACAAATTGTATTACTTGCTGGGGTATGGCGTCAAATACGACAGCATACTCTTTTGGTGTAACTGCGCTCTAAAAATGCTTAAAAACAGCCCAATTTCGGTTATTTTGCCAACCCAGCGCTAGGTCAAATATGGACAAACCCAGCTGGTTTGCCTTAAATGTTTGACCCAACACGCTGGGTTGTTTGAAAATGACTATTGCTGGCTTAAAATTAACCAAAAATCAGTTGGAATAAAAAAAAACACACAGAGAACTACTAGAGGCAACAGTAATAAGTAAAGGTCAAAATGTATTAATAAGCGACAATGCCCATGTACAAAAATATAAGACAAATTGAATACAGCATAATTTTCAATATTACATGCATTTAAACTCGTTTATCAAGCATTTTAGAAATACAAATATGACGACTGACGACTTTTTGTCTGGACTTATTAGCATATGCATTCTTGAGCCACTCAAAGTCATGAGAAAAAAAGCAAATGCAGTACCCACTTTTCTACTATAACAATATAGCAAATAATTCCATAAATGAGTAACATAGAGATAAACAAATATTACATAAATGGGAAAATTATCTTAAATATTTCTGTATTTCATTTTCTAGAAAATATGGAATAATCACTGGAAATTATAGTTAAAAAATAAGTCAATATTGTTTTCTTCTTCCGCAGGATCTTAGGGCACACCCCAGATCTGGATGAAGAAACTATTGATGATGCTTTCTTTCGTGCATTTAAAGTCTGGAGTGATGTCACACCTCTGAAATTCAACAGGATCATGGATGGAGAAGCTGACATCATGATTAACTTTGGCCGAAATGGTATTCAACAAAACCTTTTGTCTATGTCTTTCTATAAAATATGTTTCTATGTAAGTTTCTAAACTACTGTGGTGTAAATGTACAAACCCCAGATCCATTTTTCCCCCCTAACCACTGCTCTTAACTACTAAGTCACAAACTAACCACAGTCACTCTGGAAAATCCTTAGTATAAAGCTTTCTGCACCAGAGATTGATTTTCATTGTGGTCTTTGGAAATACCATTATGAGATCACAAGGCAATTACAAAAAAAGACAGTACTGTCACAGTGTAAATCTTTCCTGAGGATACTGTAAATAAAAAATTGTGGACAAAATCTAAAGAAAATGAAACTATACATGAGACCAATGTTAAAACGACACAATTACCTACTCAAAACACTAAGCCTGGTATGTTGGATTAAAACAAATATTTGAGTTAAATGAGTTCTATTTGTTATAGAACATGGTGATGGTTACCCATTTGATGGGAAGGATGGTCTTCTGGCTCATGCCTTTGCTCCTGGACCTGGTATTGGAGGAGACTCTCACTTCGATGATGATGAGCTGTGGACATTGGGAGAGGGACAAGGTATATGAATTGTCTTGTTTCTGGTGACTTGTTACCTCTTTAAATTCAAGTAGCTGTTTTTTTAACCATTTTGTTTATCAAATGTGATACAGTGATTTCCTGCTCTCTCTGCATCTTGATTTAGTGGTAAAGGTGAAGTATGGCAATGCAGAAGGGGAGTTCTGTAAGTTTCCATTCTTGTTCATGGGTAAAGAATACACCAGCTGCACCTCTCAGGGTCGAGATGATGGGTTCCTATGGTGCTCTACCACATACAATTTTGATGAA